TTTTTTTCTCCTGGAAACAAGAAACATGATTAAAAATCGTTTTTGTAATTATCCTTCACCACCAGGGGGCAGCGTGCCGACACACTCAGTACTTCCTTTCAGGCCCGTCCTCATGGCCTTTTTCACAGGACTCAAAGCTTACGCTTACTCACTGCACCATCTTGTGGTATAAAGTGGTATTACCTGAAAGTACACCTGGAATTAATTGAACCCAAATGTTAACATGAATGAACCTGCAGAGGGCTCCTTTGAACTGTATTAAGAGGTTTAAATTATTTTGAAAAACGTTGTTGTGCTGCTGAATCTCTCCAGCAGTGAAAGGCTCATCCATCAGCGCCGTCCTCAGGTGAGAAAGCACAGATACCTGCACACAGACTGACACGTCAGCACGGTGTCGCCTCCTCCTAACTCGACAGCTGCTGCTCTGCAGAGGCACTGGAGGACTGTGAGGAGGGGGGGGAGGAGGTGGCAGCTGTGGTTAGAGGAGATAAGTCCTCACAGGTGAAGTAGTCCTTCAGGGGGGCCAAGAGGTGACGGACGACGGGGACACACCACGCCTTCCCGAGCACCTTCTGCCGCTGCTGCCGGTTCATGTCCCGCACATCGGTGTAATGTTTAGGGAACCCGAAGACTCTGCAGGGAGGAAGGAGGACACCGTTAATAACCCACCCATGAACAGGACCACACTGCTCGTGGCTCAGATAGAAACTCAGTGGATCCACAGAAATCTGCCCACAGGCTGTTAGAGACGAGTGGGCGTTACAGCCCTTCAGCCTGCTACCTTTCCAGCTCCGTGATCCACAGTTTGTCCTCTTTGCCGTTGTAGAGGACGGGAAGCTTGTTGACATTTTTTCCTTGTTTCAGGGAGTTCGCGTTGGTGGTGATCGTCCTCACCTTACACATCTGGAACACAAGCATGAGAACGATCATGTGGCCGAGCAGCTGTGGACGGATTGCGGCGAGGAGCAGACTGAGTCACTCACCGTGGCCTTCCTGCCCAGCTCCAGGCACTCCTGCAGGTCCAGCTTGTCGCTCTGGGTGGCTACGATGGGCCTGCGGGTGAAAAATAAAACTTTATTTAAAACGCTTATCCGGCAACGCATTTGAACTTTTT